GTTCTCATTCCGAAAAACTATAAAACTTTAATAACTTATAAGATCACTTTCTTGTCCGTCTGTAAGTGTGTCACCACCGATTTTCTCAGGAACGGGTAGACCTAGCAAGTTGAAATTTATACCAGATACTGAGGTCAATGGTCCCTATTAGGTGTATGAAAATCAAGGTCCACTATAAAAATATATGGCCAAATTTCAATTTTCGCGAAAACTATAAGCACAATTAAAGGAATAATTCCAAAAAATAAAAAAGTTGAAAATTAAGAGAAATTTTGGTACTTACTAATTTTCGTGAAAATCTACGTAAAAACTGGGATAGGTACGGAACCCTCGGCGCACGAGTTCGACTCGTACCTGACCGAGTTTTTTGTATGATCTGTGAATATTTGTTTCGGAGTTTGGGTGTTTTCTATGTATAATTTGTATATATTCACAAAAAAAGGATTTAAGTATTCCATCAGTAAATCCAGCTTTCAAATTCTTGTAATTTAATGTCGTCAATCTTTGTAATTTTCTCTGCTTAGTTTGAAACTAGATGTCGTTGTGTCAGATGTCCGAAAATATTATTATTATTAATCTCGATACAAAAAATGTTATGTTGGTTTGTGTCGATATACAGCCACCTTCAAAGATTGTTTTCATCTATTTTTCCTCGTTTCTCATCAAACGAACCACAATGTGCCACAGCGAAGCTACATAGGGTACAGTTTGTAAAATATAATTATGTGATCGAATAATAGTAGGGACTATTAAACAAACAACCTTTCCATTGCCTTTATACCTACTTTAGTTTATTTTTATAAAATTTAATCGAATAATAATAGTTCATGTTGTCAAACATATCGACAACAGAATAAAAACTAAGCTTACATAGGTTTTTTCACTATAACCACTACCAAATGAATCTGCTTATGGTAAAACTAGCAACCCGCCCCGGCTTCGCATGGCGTAGATACTATTGTGGTGTTAGTGTGGAGTTATTAAACTCATTATTTTTATGATAAGACTATACTACATAATATCTTAATAACATAAATAAAAATAAATTGCAGTTCGCCGTGTTTTAGTGGGTAGGAACCCACTAAAACACGGGAATGACTTGACCGATTTGGCTAATTTATGTCTTGAAATATTTGTAAAAATGCTAGGAAACTAGTATAAGCAACTGTTTTATTTTCCCATACAAAATGTTCCTCCAGATCAAACATTTGATGCTGTCTTCGGTAAGATAAACTCGGAATTCTCGGTTCTCTTCAAATTAAAGAATATACAATATAATATAACATATACACAGTATTCAAATTATCATGTCACATTACATCAAAAGCCTTTAATAGTCCACTGCTGGATATAGGCCTCTCCTTACAAAGGAGGTTTTGACCTACTATACCACGCTGGCCCGATAGGTATGGTACGGGGTTTTCCTTCTCTTTACAGAGCTGTTGCCCGTAGTTTGCTCCCTTAGTCGGCTCTTACGACACCCATGGGATTAATACGGGTGGTGACACTCTGTATTCTTAATCACCACACGTTTATGACGAATAATCGTGTATTTAGATTTAAAAAATACTTACCAATAAATATTGTCACTATTGCGTTCAGAAATTTATTTTGTTACTAAACTTAGAAAAAGATGCCAAGCTATATAAAAAAAATCAGAAATCAATTCCGTAATTCCTTTTTTTTTTCAAAAAGACAACTGGATTGGACACATGCCTGTGTCGCGGGAGAATTGTTGATTGTTTATTTTTTTACATTATATCCTACAAAATTTGGAATTATTCGTAAATCATCAGTTAAACATCTCGACCGACTGTAAGGTGAGTTCAGTTATTGTGACACACATGGGGAACAAGAAACTTCTTGTTTAATCATTTTTATTTTTTGTACAAATTTATCATTTTAAGTCACAGTTAACCGAGCAAAATGACCCGTATGCATTGTTCCGTATCGATTTTACGACAATTTTTAATTTTGTTATTACTCATCACTCACTCATTTATGAATGAATTTATAAAATTGGTCCAGTAGTTTGGAGCCTATTCATTACAAACAAACAAACAAAAAATCTAATCTTTCTTTTTTAGCAGCCCTAAAGTATTCTAGAGCTAATACATATTAATTATGTAATTATTACAACAAATATTTTGAATTTTCTTTTTATCAAAGACTACGACTTTTTTTAGATTTACACCTTACAGACCTTACCTTTTAGACCTTAGACGCGTCTGGCGCTAGCGTAATCCTAAAGTCTGAGTGAATTTGTAGATGAGTCGTAGTTGTGATTCTTACATTATTAAATTATATGATTTATCACTTGTGATTGTAGTTTTATTCCATCCCTAGTATCTAACTATACGATAATAATAATTATTCGTAATCTAACTACGTAAATACATACCTACATGAATTAAGATAACGAAGATCAACCTTTGTTAGGTTAGGTTATCCTATAACCTTTATAATTACCTATAAGTAAAGCATTATTTACTTATCGATGTCCTTTGGAAGCGTATGCAACGTGAGGTTCGGATCCACCTCATTATTTATTTATTTATTTAGGACAACTTACAAAACATACACTAATACATAATTTACAAACATGTTTTACAAATATTTTCTGAGTGTTTTCTTACTTACAAGTTGCCACGGCATGTTAAGGGACAGTTAAATCTAACATTACAATGCAATATCTATACAAACATCATCGAAATTAATTAAAGAAAGTGATGCATTTAAAGTGGTCTAAGAAGTTCCAAATGACGCAATAACTTTGCTTTTAAATTTTGGAAGACTGTTTGAGAAGATGTCTACATCAATTTCACGATTTTTCGTCAGCTTGTTATACTGGCTTTACATTGATATAATACTTACATAGATGAGTAATTACCGCCTAAAATCGTTGCTACTGCACATATGTCCACAGGCATATGCGTAGCAAACGTCAATTCAGTATTCAATGTGGCGTCAACCGAGTTGAACATAGCGACACATGACAGTAACAATCGCCAAAATGGCTAAATGCGTAGTGAAAGAATGCGATTCAAGGTCACAAAACATTAATAAATCATGCGGAATTACTTTCCACGTGTAAGTTTATGGTTTTTGTATTGATAATATCGTAAATAAGGCTATAATTTAAATAAAACACTGATAATTGTAATTTAGAATCAGTGTTACCATTAAAAAATCATTTTGGTTTTCCCACATTAGTGGGAGAATTTATAATTTATGAAATAATATGCTTTATACTGTTTTTAAACATTTTGCCAATAATAATAAAATATAGGAAGAACGGTGGTTGTTAGGGCTGGACCGATCACTTTTTTTAGGGACCCGTTGAACGTTCACTGCGAGCTTGGCAGAAGTGCCAAGCTCGCAGTGCTGGAGACTTTTGTACAAAATAATTGATTCATTGTTTTTCTTAATTTATTATCAATTTTAAATAATAATTGTACAAAATAATAATAATAATAATAATAAATGTTTGTCATAAAAATAAAAATATAAAATAAAAAAGTAAATAAACATAAATAATTTTTTTTTATAAAATAAAAATATTTTTTTTTTAATTTGTTTTTTAAATTATAATCGAATTTGCAATACACCCTGGGGATTATTTATTATCAGTACAAGTTGATCATTCACTTTTATTATTAAATGCTATTATTGTAACATACGTAAAAATAAGATTGTATCATGAAAGTAAAATATCCACACAAACTTATAAAAAAGAGTCTAAAAGACAATTGTATACAAAACTGATGCTTCACAGCGCAGTTTGATTTTACACTGAATATAAACCCCTTTAACCAAATATTTCCAGTTATTTTATTATTTATACCTATTCTATTCAATTCGAAATATATTATTTAGAATATTTAAATTAATTTATTTTATTACAAAATTGTTTTAAAAAAAATTGTTTCTTAGTTGTTATGGGTAAAATTTCATACGGTAGTCAACACTGGCCCACCATCGTAAAGTTATATCTTTGTCTTTGTCTAATCCGAGCGATGGTATTGTTCTTGTCTCGCGTGTAAATGAGACATAAATATGTTTACTTTCAAATGTTTAGTGGTATCAAAGCTACGTCGTCAAAGTTCAAAAGTGGTTACACTTTTTTCGACGTGTGATAATGAGGTTTGCTTCTCTAGTGTTGTTTTAACTCAATGTGGCTTTATAATCTATTCATAGTAGCGTTCTGCCCCAAGTTGGTTTTAGAAGTTTTAATTGAAAAAGGAGTGTATTTATTGGTATTATTATTTAAGCAGCTGAATACGATGCAATATTCTTGTGCAATCATCTTTGTTAAGTAATATTTTCTATTACGTATATTATGGTAGGCGACAAACAACGAAGCGTAAGTACCTACCTATGTAACTAACGCGACACGGGAGTTCACAGGAGCATCCCAGACAGTGCATGACAGCCCTCAATGGGCAGTATACTGACTGTCCCGTCTAGACGAAGCAGGTAGGTGTGTTCTTGCCCAGAGTGCGGAGTATTTGGAGTTTTAATTATGGATCTGAATTAATTAGGTATTTACTAGGTGGTATTTACAAAATAAGCGTTTCCCTTAGTTTCAGGTCCGTTTATGGTCACTACTTCGCTCCATCTGACTGATAGTTTCAGAGAATAGTTCGTTTAGACAAACAATCAAATAAAAACACTCGGCAAGTATTTATATATTATACACTAGGTATGTATATACATAGGTACATATTAAAATCATCGTAAACTATGTATATATACCTATAATAATAATGTTTTTTATGATTATAAATTTATTATTTACATAATTATTTTATTCTGTTTGACGAACTTACAATACATATTTCTAGAGTAAGAACTGTTATACATAATATGGATATAATATGTACATTTTATGTAAATCTCTAGATACCTAATTAAAGTAACAGTGTACGTTGCTCAGAATGCCTGAGGAGTGGAAGTGAATACACATTAGATTTCAAGAACCAATATGAATAAGTATTTACATGTCATTGTATCCTATTAAAAACCTGGAACCGGGTCCAGCAAGGCGCGACTCGGTGTTTGGCAACACTACAGCAACATACTCGACGGAACATAATGACATAATTGACGGGGGAACGCGGGTGGCGGGCGGCGCGGCGGACTTTGCGGGGCGCATGCGCGGGTTTGACGGCCAAGGTCGAGGCCGCGCGATTCTGCCGCGCACCGCCGCGTCGCTCGGATGGTTATTCTCGCGCGCCCTCTTTCTGGTAACGACTTTTGAGGGACAAATGCGCAGTAAACGACGCGAGTGTTCCTGTGTCCGGGACTACAAGGCCGTATAACACCCACCGGTATAGGTAAGTTGGTTAAACTGAATAATTAATGTTCTTCGTCCACAGTAAACAAAAATCAGCTATGTAGTTGTGTAATGTTTATAATCAGATAATCACGCTTCACTCAATCCATAGACATACTTAGTATATATGCTGCCAATGTTGGCTAGCGCTGTTTTGTGCATAGATACGAATATTTGAACCAAGTAAACTGTTCAAGGCCTATGAAGGGGCCTTTAAAGGAACTAAGCAACAGATAGGTGTAACATCTGTACTTGTAGGTACCTAGTGTGAACAAAACGATTTGTTCATTGTGCGAAATTGGTCAGCTCACCTTGCGCAATGTTTCACGTCACTCGCTTAATGTGAATTCTCTGAAATTAAATTTAACATTGTTTTGGAAATGACATATGTATTTAACAAAATAGTTTAATCTCCCATGTACTTAGGTATATTTGTTTATACCGGACGGATGTCCACGTTTATTTGTAACTTTTTGGTACTCGAATTTGTTAATAAGTTGTGGTATAAGTGTATGTGTAGGTACCTACCTACCTAGAACTGGAATTCGTTCTGCTAGTTTTTTTAAAACCTACTATCGTTATACTGGAAGTATATTAACCGTCTGCTGGAATGAATTATCGATCGATTTAAGCATTCATATAGAATTATTGGACACCTATGTATAATGATACTGTCATGTGAAACATAACATACCTACCTATATAGTTGTATACTATAAAGGCAGTCCTTACGCGTGATCACACGAAGAGCTTACCTACCTAATTAGCTGAATACATTATGGTACCTTTAGAAAAGTTACATAACTACAAGCTAAGTAAGACAAGATGCCTTGTTTGTCTATGAATGCGACATAGAGACTATACCGGTTATAGTTCGTAGTTTTTTTTGCCTAGTTACAATGTTAGTGTAGATAATATAAAATATAAATTTATCTCCAAATCAATTAGGTAGGTACGTACCTACTTACTATTTTTTTTGTTGTTGTAAAGCCGTTAAGTATAACCAAAAAATATGTAGTGTGTTTAACGTCAAATATCATTTAATTTTTAATTGATTCGTGTGTTTAAATTACAAAATTTGGACTTCTCGTAGCTCACTTTTAGACAAAATATGAAGTCATAGGTACATTGTAAAATAAATTGTTAACAATATGTATGTGTGTACAATAAAGTATTTTTTTGAACGTACAGAGAACCACACTGTTACTTTAATAGAAAATGTTTAAAGGAATTGTAACAATTATGAAACGTAATATATCTACCTATCTAGTAGGTACCTATATCCACATATTATGTTATAATCAGAAAAACGAGTATTTTTATAAGATTTTATGTAGGTATATGGACATGGAACTGCAAACTAAATTACTAACTGAAATTAAGTAGTTATTTTTTTTTAATTACCATGTGCACTAACAAAGGTAAGGTAAAAAAATAGTTTGTCATTATCAGATACATGAACGTATAAAAAAGTTACTTGTTTGTACGTCCATGATCAGATTGATCCTATAGAAAGCTACCTTATCAGCGAGTAATATAGGCTATATTTTATTTTGAAAACGTAATTATTTTTCAAATTCAAATAATTTATTTCAGCCAAAATTCATCCATACTCGTATAGTGTTAGTAACAGTGTGTCTTAAACTAGTTTTGTATTAAATATTTGTAATAAATATATTATTAACAAACTAATTATATTTATTTTTGTATGTAAATCGAAATGCGAATCCCTTATTCAGATTTGGATTTCGGAGTCCCAACTATCTGACAAAACATTCAGGATGCTGTTGGAGTAGGAGTCAGGAAACGCGTCAGCAAGGATTCAATTTCTTATAAAATTGACGATAGTTTAAAGACAGGTAGAAAAAATTGACAAAAATATTTGCTATTTTCCGGTGCGCTGCAAAAACTGTTGATAGTACCTACCTACATAATAAAATTCGATATATTTCGATCGTACACAACAAAGTGCGCTAGGAGGTATAGTTTTAGATATAAAAACCATTTTTTTGTTACAATTAGCCAACTAAAATATGGATCAAAACAAAAAGTGATTCTATGAATATCATGATATTAATCCTTATCTAAGTAAAACAATTAGTATTTTAGGCCATACATTTAGGTGTATACATATAACTTTTAGCTGTTAAAAAAGTAATTTAAACCTAGCTACACCTAGCCCCTAGCTTTTATAAACTATTTTTACCTTTCAAATTTTACAAAAAAAAAATGGATCGTTTACGAAGCTATTTAAAATAATATAGTATTATTAATTATCTTATAAAGTACATTAGATACGTGTTTGATTTAATGTAAATTAAAACTGCCTTTCACAGCATATTATTAATATAAATATCTTAGAAGATATCAAAGCGACCGTGTGTCCCGGGTGCCAGCGCTCCGCGGCCGCTGCTCCAACCGCTGCGCTTATCTGAGTAACTTCTAAGTCTTAAGAAAACATATTTGTATTGTCTTATAAAAAAGTAGCTGTATATGAAGATATTCTGTAGTATAATCATAATAATAATATTATTAACAACTCGTCATTGACACCACATTAGCATCTACATTTCACCCGGGCGAAGCCGTGCGGGTAGCTAGTATCATCAACAGCCTTTAATAGTCCACTGCTGGACATAGGCCTCCCCTTAGAAAGGAGGTATTGGTAGCTAGTATATACATATCTAATCTTTAATATAAAATTCTCGTGTCACAATGTTAGTTACCATACTCCTCCGAAACGGCTGGCCCGATTTTTATAAAATTTTGTGTGCATATCGGGTAGGTCTGAGAATCGGCCAACATCTATTTTTCATACCCCTAATTTTTTTAAATAATGTATAGGGCAAAACAACGTTTGCCGGGTTAGCTAGTAATAAGTATAATTATTATCACTAAAATTATCATTTCAAGATTAAAGATTAAAATATCCTTATACTAAATTCTCACATACCTATCTCTTGATATTCTCTTTGTCAACTCTTTTCATTTCTTTCTCTCGATACAAAATCATCACATATTTGTACTATAAATATTGTTATATTTGGATTGAGGTTATATAAAGCTTGAATAAATTCAATCCCTTATATGTCAATCCTGACATGGAGGATTAAGATTGAAGTATGTACCGTGTTGTGTTGTGTCAGTGTGTACCCAAACGCTTGTTTGTGTATATCTACATACACACGCCTATATTAACACGCTCTTCGAGTGTGCGCGCGGACGCGTGTGTGCAACTCATCCCCCTTTATTTAGGTCAGGGGAAGCTGCGGGGAAGTTAGAGTGGGCGGTGAATCTTCGCCCGTATCGACCCGGCCATTCCCGCCCACACACAGAAAAATGTTTATTGATGTTAATCGCAAAATAGTCACAAATGGTCCCTCTAACATTTTAACGTGTAGATTAATTTGAGTTACAAAATTGAGATGCTAGTAACGTTATTGTATTTTCTGTTTAATTGATTCTAAAAAACTTTTCGTCATTTAATTAGTCGATGGATTTAGTATTACATATTTACTAAGTTATTTTAATCTGTATTTTCTAAAGAATAAATTAAGCAATTTAAACATTTCATTATAAAAAGGTAGCCTGTATAACCATAAGTACTACAATAGAACTAAGGAATGACTTTATGACACTAATTGAGGTCATTGAGTTAAAACAACACTAGAGAAGCAAACCTCATTATCACACGTCGAAAAAAGTGTAACCACTTTTGAACTTTGACGACGTAGCTTTGATACCACTAAACATTTGAAAGTAAACATATTTATGTCTCATTTACACGCGAGACAAGAACAATACCATCGCTCGGATTAGACAAAGACAAAGATATAACTTTACGATGGTGGGCCAGTGTTGACTACCGTATGAAATTTTACCCATAACAACTAAGAAACAATTTTTTTTTAAAACAATTTTGTAATAAAATAAATTAATTTAAATATTCTAAATAATATATTTCGAATTGAATAGAATAGGTATAAATAATAAAATAACTGGAAATATTTGGTTAAAGGGGTTTATATTCAGTGTAAAATCAAACTGCGCTGTGAAGCATCAGTTTTGTATACAATTGTCTTTTAGACTCTTTTTTATAAGTTTGTGTGGATATTTTACTTTCATGATACAATCTTATTTTTACGTATGTTACAATAATAGCATTTAATAATAAAAGTGAATGATCAACTTGTACTGATAATAAATAATCCCCAGGGTGTATTGCAAATTCGATTATAATTTAAAAAACAAATTAAAAAAAAAATATTTTTATTTTATAAAAAAAAATTATTTATGTTTATTTACTTTTTTATTTTATATTTTTATTTTTATGACAAACATTTATTATTATTATTATTATTATTTTGTACAATTATTATTTAAAATTGATAATAAATTAAGAAAAACAATGAATCAATTATTTTGTACAAAAGTCTCCAGCACTGCGAGCTTGGCACTTCTGCCAAGCTCGCAGTGAACGTTCAACGGGTCCCTAAAAAAAGTGATCGGTCCAGCCCTAACAACCACCGTTCTTCCTATATTTTATTATTATTGGCAAAATGTTTAAAAACAGTATAAAGCATATTATTTCATAAATTATAAATTCTCCCACTAATGTGGGAAAACCAAAATGATTTTTTAATGGTAACACTGATTCTAAATTACAATTATCAGTGTTTTATTTAAATTATAGCCTTATTTACGATATTATCAATACAAAAACCATAAACTTACACGTGGAAAGTAATTCCGCATGATTTATTAATGTTTTGTGACCTTGAATCGCATTCTTTCACTACGCATTTAGCCATTTTGGCGATTGTTACTGTCATGTGTCGCTATGTTCAACTCGGTTGACGCCACATTGAATACTGAATTGACGTTTGCTACGCATATGCCTGTGGACATATGTGCAGTAGCAACGATTTTAGGCGGTAATTACTCATCTATGTAAGTATTATATCAATGATTGAGGTGACACAGATC